TCCTTTCTCCACCCTGCCAGTTCTAAGGGGATTGTTTTAAATTTAGTCCAACAACAAGGATGAGAGAGAAACTGACACCTCTGGGGAGATGCAGGAGGAGAAAGCAGTTTCTGAGGCTGATCTCCTGAGGAGACACCACTCTACACCCTTTGTAAAGCCAGCTGGATGATGTCCGGAGTCCAAATATGAACCTTGCAGCCAACTATTTGATCAACCAACTGTGGCATTTTGGCCTCAGGAAGTGAATTAGGCTCCCAGCACCCTGGTGTGTGTGTGGGTGTTTCCACTGTCCCGCTTTTCTGCCTGGGGAAAGCAGGGCTCCTCGGGTAGCACAACCCCGGGGGCTCCGGCTGCTCCCCAAAGCCAGAGGTCAGTGGTGGATGGGCACACGCAATGGGCACACTTATAAAATAGCAGCCAAGAGGCAGGCGCTGTGCGGGGAGGACAGGTTGTACTCACGGCTAGGCCTGCTCCTCAGCACTTTCACCTCCGTGCTGGCACTGACGGAGTTGCTACTGCTGTAGGCACTGCACGTGTAGGATCCCTCGTCAGCCTCCTGAACACTGCTTATGATCAGGCTGCCATCCTGGGACAGGTGGATGTGGTGGCCATCTGCCCGCATGGGGACTCCATTCCTGTGGTGAAAAACATTTTGTGCCACTATTCCCACCCGTGGGGGCTAAGGAGCTCTCTGCGCTCTTTGGGAACTGACACTCTCTGAAAGGGGTGTAGCAGGAAGGAAGAAGAAATCTTATTTCACTACAACCTGGCTCTACAATCGGGTAGTAACACGAGCCTGAGTGAGTCTGCATCCGTTAGCCCACTGTCCGTGTGGGAGGTAGCTCGCTGTGTGCTCTGTATAAAGACGTTGCCCTTTCCGCTATTAGACATTTTTGAGGTTTGAGGAACTAAGAGAAAATCCAGGGTGCCTTTCCCTCTCTCCAGGTTGTGGTCTGGCAGCACTTGTTTGGCTGGCATTGATAGCAGCGCATATTGCTTGAGGAACATATGGGGTGGTAGTGAGCAATGCGGCCTCTTTCCTCTCCCTTAAAAGTTTGTTTAAAAAAACCCCCACACGTTTAAAATACCAGCAAGATTGTGTCTGTTCTGTTCCTCCTGGAATACTGTGTCCCCAGCAGGAAAACTGCCTGAATTATGAACTCCCAGTTACCAAGGAAATGAAATTTGTTTCACTGAAAAGGGTTTCATTCAGACTCTGAAACTTGCACCATTTTGTTAACTTGAATACCAAACTTAGGTATGGAAGAAAAGCTCTCTTTGTGAGATGGCCCACTTCAGTCCTACCCCTTGGAGTAGAGGGATTTCAACAGTTACCAATCCATCTCTCTGGATCCTTTGCAAGAAGGCTCCAAACCAGAACTGATTTTTTTCAGAGAAAAAAAACCACCCACCAAACACTTGTAAAAATTTCACTGTAAGCCATAAGAAAAGAGGACACAGCTTTTCCTTTACCTTTATTAAAACACTTTAAATCCTCCTTTGCTCCCACTTGACAGTAGAGGGACAGAACTGTTGCACCCAGAGGCTGGGAAAAGAGTTGCTGTTCTTGTAAGGGCTAAAATGTTTGTTAGAGTTAGGCAGAGAGAGTTTTATAAAGACCAACTGAAGGCTTTCCTCCAGTTACTCATTTTAGTTTTTTGCTGTTGTAATGTCACTAGCTTTCCAGCATGGAGCCCTTCTGAACTCCATGAAATCTTAACTTAAAGTCTGCTTTCCTCCTTGTTTGGCTCGAACATGAACTTGGTGACCCCTACACCGCACAGGGATCTTGCCCAGGATTTTTAGGGTAACAGGCAAGTTGATTAGGAAAGGGTAGGTGATGCTAGCTGAGAACTGTGGGTGTCTCTTTTACCTGGTAGGCGTCCTGCATTATTATTTGGAGAGTAAGTGATGAGGTTCAAGAAGAGAAGGGAAGTCCTGTCTAACTTTTGCTCACCTTGACCACCTTATATTCACATTGTTACCAGTCACTGTACAATGAAGATGAGCAGTTCCTCCCTCAGGTACCATGATGCTTGGCAGAAGACCGGTGATCCTCAGCTCTCCTAGACCAGGAGGGAAATCATCGCTAGCAGGAAGACAATCCCATATTGCCGCTGGTAGTAGGAGCATTCCCTCATGGGAAAAGTCCAGCATATGCTATGGATGAGCTACAAGCCCCCTAGGGCTTGTCAGAAACAGCATGTCTGAAGCCATGTCACTGTCGCTATGGGCAATGTGGATTTCCTAAGGGCTTTGGCCCAAGCAAGGGCAAGTAGCAGAGGCCTTGAAGATCTTTTTCCTTCAGCTGGACACAAACACATCACGTGCACAGAAGAACCATCTCCTTAGTCTCTCTTGCTCCTCTACCCACTCCACACCAGTGTCCCAGAAACAAGGCCCCGAGAGTCACTCTTACTGTGCTATTAGTGCCTCTCCTCAGCTGCCTGGAGCACCACATTCTACTAGAAACACACAGGTTACCATTGGGTAAACCAACTCATGCTTCCCTTGCCTCCAAGCTGCCTGTTAAACATTAGGTGTGAAGCCAAGAGGCACGGCCAGACAAGAAACCCACACTGCCCAGCCCTCCCATTTCCTGCTTGTGCACGCACACATGTGTGTGTACAGACATGCCATGCATGCTTCCACCCATCCAGTACCTAGAGGTCGGAACAGGACCTGGCGCTGGTCCTGGTCACGTCCATTTGAGGCAATGCAGGTAAAGAAGCCAACGTCTTCAGAGCTGACCCGGCTGATCACCAGGGCCCCATCTGACTGCTGCCTGTGTCTGGGGAACAAAACCAGAAAGCCCCTCAGCGTGTGTTTGGGTCAGGATGGGACTCCAGCCACCACAGCTGAAGCTGAGCCTCAGGTACAACTTTGTAGTAACACTGACCAAAGGTTTAGCAACAGGTCAGTTCAACCCACAATGCAAACCCTGGTCCTCAAATCCCGGCACTAGTGCTGCATACTCTGGAAAAGCTTGGTGCTAGAGCAGGCTTCTGGGAGCAGAGGGTGAGGGGAGCCACAGGGGAGCACCAGTAGCTGTGGAAGTTCACTGCGGGCACCCTGATCTCTCTCTTTGCTGTGAACCTCTGCCCTGGCTCACAGACCAGCTGGGCTTTGGCAAATCTGCTTGCTGCTTGTTCTCTTTCTGCTAATCTTGTAGATGAACTAATTTCAGCTTTGCCTCACTTGTAGACCCTGTATCACAGCTGCTCACTGGAGGGTTCAATGTTCAAACTTTGATCTGCGAGTGAGGCAGTCAGGCAGCACGGTCTGGCCCTAATGGAGGAAGCTGGCCAGCATAAAGCAGGACGAGCCCTAGCTGCGCAGCCAGCAGCTCCCTTCTTGCAGGGAGGAGACAGGGAAGGCAACGCAAGGGAAGGCAAGGCAGAGGCTCTCCTCCACGTGAACCTGCCTGTGGGTATGGTGGAGCCACCTGGGAGCTCACCTGGGAGAGGAGAGGGGCTGCCCGTCTTTCTGCCACTCAATGGTGAGAGCCGGCGATGCTTCCACTGTGCAGGGCAGCCTGACTCTCTCCCCGACGCTGGCCTCCACTACTGAGGGCTCGCTCTTATCCATTCTCAATCTGCAAAGTCCACAAGCATAGCAAGAGATGCAGAAACTTCATCATTTAGCATTTGACCTTCAGCACAAGGCTTTTTTAATCATAAGCTTTATTTTTTGCCTCCAATGGGAGAGGGTGGTCTCTGTGCTCCCGTCAGAGCTCTGATACTTGCCATTACCAACATTCACTCACAACATTCAGAAAAGAGCAGCTTCCATCAAATCCTGCTCCAGTTCAGCACAGCTTGGTGCTGCACTCCTGCCAGCCAGCTTGACCCTTTAGAGACAGCAACCCTGTTTCTTACAGCATCCCTCTGGATAACAGCCTAGGAAGTGTCAACAGCACAAGCACATGGCGAACGGCACAAAGTCCTGAACAAGGCACCAAGCAAGCTTCCCCCGAGGTGCTTGGCTGGCACACAAAAATGAGCAGATATTTTTTGGGGGTGTGAAGAGCCCATTGCAATCACCTGACTGCGTGCAAGGCCCAGGAGCTGGCCATCCACTTCATGCAGCAGAAAGGTTGAGGTCAGGCTCTCACACCACTCATCTCCTGGTCTTTGCTGTCTTATAACTACAGCTAAACACCATTTTAGAAGGGAACTAAACCGTGATGTTCCCAGAGTCAAATAAAACATCATCTCCCCCACCCCCATTCTCTGACCTGAATTCTTGATCTCAAATAACAAAACCGAGCAGCCTTAATTCAATGCTCTTAATTCAATGAATCACTTCTTTCTGCTTTTAGGCAGAAGCAGCTAAGGACGTTGCTGCAGAGTTCAGCAAAGTGGCTGGGTTTTAGGTTATAAACTCAAAGGGAGGGAGGAATCAGATCATGGTCCCATTTAACCTGGAGCCCCAACATGCTGCATTTAAAGCAAAAATAATTTGTATCCTTTTATTTCTGTGGGGCCAGAAACACGCAAGAAGCTACAAAATATGTCACCCAGTACATGAGGAGACAGTTTTGAGCCAAACTGGTTTGTTCACAAAATATTTAAAATAAATGGGTGGGGGCTAAAGTAACTGGAGCTTTTTGAAATATAGATATGTCTATTTTGTGCTAGTTAAGCAGTTCCTATTTGCTTTGCATTTTTCCAGAACAGGTTTCTCTTTCTGCCTCCATTAAATTGAACAGCTAAGGATGCTGCCCCGATATTTCTACTTTTATTTGAACCCAGCTCCTTTGCTGTCAGCCTCCCTTCGCGTCTTTGCTCTGAATATGCTTCTTTCAAGAGACCCTCGGGGAGGACAGAAGACAGTTTGTGACTGGGATCTTCGCCCGTTCCTGTTGTCAGCAGCTCAGTACTGCTTGCTTCCCAACCGTGCCCCAGAACAGCTGACCCAGGACCTTTCCAATCTTCAGCTTTTCTACATGAAGAGATGCCATATGGTTCATCAGCTGGACATGGTGGACAAACTGTTGCTGTATGTGAACTTACCTGTATGTGGATTGCTGATGCACAGAGGAACCAGCTGCCTGTACAACCTTCCTGCCTCTGGAGAGCTCTCGATGCTGCTGATTTTCCTTGTGAAGGACCCGACCTCTCTCACCCTCTGCCAGAACAGCGCTCTGGTACTCTATTCAAAATAAAATGCCATATGTGAATAAAAGGACCCTTCTTACTGTGACCTCTTGCGTAGGGTTTCTATGAGCTTGCGAGAGCTTGCTGAACTGGAGCCAAAGAGCCCTTCAGCCATCTGCTTTCTGGCTGACTAGTGCAGTAAGCCTGCGCTGTCTACTAATGAGAGTCACAGACCTGCAGGCAAGCAGATTTAGACTCCTTTCTCTGTCAATGAACATGTTGCAGCATCCCGTAGGCCGCAATGCCTTCTGTCCCATGTGCCATTGCTGTGACAAAGTACAGTTCAGAGATTGAAGGCCACAGGGTGCCTCGCTGGCCCATCTTTTGAGATTAGTCTTTCGTATATTTTTATTTTTGTTTCTTAAATAAGGCACATTTTTCAGAATAGGGAATCTGTTACCCAGCATGACCTGTTCAGGTAAAACACAAACCATAAAACCACCAGCACATAGAGATATGGCAGACTGGTCACGTTATAGTACGAGATGGAAGACCCAAGAAAGTGCAGAAAAGCCCTCTTCTGGAGCATCCTTTCTGGGATGAGGAGGTAGATGATAGCTCTCAGGGAGGAAGACATGCTTATTGTGCTGGAAATAGGGCAGGTTACAGGCAAGCCACAACTCTGGTTATGGGGCGGCACTGCAGGGGAAGTGCTTTAGGGCCAAGGCTTTATCATGAGGTAACACCAAAAGCCCTGCTGCCTCTACACTCCCTCTTGGCACCCCTACGGTGGGGGAGACCAACTGCTTTTACTTGCTCTTGGGACACCATTGCCATGGAGTGAAGGCAATGCTGCTAGCACAGTGTGGCAGCAGAGGAAGTTTGCTCCTGCAGCTGGCTTTATTGCTGCTGTTGTCAATAACTGTTAACGAGGAGCCCTGAGGTACCTCTTTGGTCTTAAGTGGAAGATAAGTCACCTCTGATCTGTAACTGAATCTGTCGGCTCTTTGTCCTCCCGTTAGAAATGAGGCATGTGTAAGTCCCGGCGTCCTCCAGCTTGACGTGGCTGATCACTAAGGAGCTGTCGGACTGGTAGGTGTGCCTGCAACAAGAGCAAGAATTAACTGCCTCTGCCTGGCCAGGGACAGCAACTGGCCAAAGCAGAGCAGCCCTTCGTGCTGATGTTACAGAAACCATCACCATGTAGTACTCTACCCGGCTTAGAAAAAAACAAAACCCTGTTGACCACAGAGGGGTCACAGGCAGGGGAAATAACTGTGGCAGAAAGGAGGTCAGGAACAGAGAGGAAACTGAGATGGGAAAACAGGGAACTGCTTTCAGGAACCCTCTCCCATGAGGAGGCAAACTGCCCTTCCAGGCAGGAGCTTGAGCCCCAGCAGTCATTTGCAAACAGAAAAGCAGAACTGGGCTTTTCTTTACTGTGATTTCATAACACAAAGTGACTGTCTGGCTCCAGACTGTTGCTGGAAACAGGAAAAACAGGCTTTAAAAGTAGTTTTTTAAAAAACTATATCTAGGATGAGAGCGCCAGAAACTTCCAGCCAGAGGTACTCTGGGTTATTTGGCTACAAGCTTCACCTTGGACTACTGACTTGGTGCTACCCCAAGATGAATCCAACAGAGACAACATTTTTCTGTATCACTACCCACATGTCAGCTTCCACCAGTGCCTTGTTATGGGTCAGCATCTGTTCTGCCCCATAACACTAGCCAATACTACTGCAGACTGTATCTGTTTCTGCTGTGCATGGACCAGATGATAGACAGTTCATGCTCTTAGGTCAATACATGTGCGTGTTGGGTTTTTTTTGAAACAGTTTCTGTTTTTTTTCTACCCCCCCCCCCCCTTTTTTTTTTTAAATGGTAACAGTAAGATTACAAAGAAAGTGGACAAGCATATTTGGCACTCTGCCCAGCAAGGAGCCCATCTGCTCTACAATGAAGGGAGCTGAGCTCACCTGTCAGACGAGACTGGTCGGCCGTCCTTCATCCACTCCACTCTGGAGAAGGGGGACAGGCCTGTCTTGCAGACCAGCTGGATGTTTTGTCCCATGACCGCTGTCACAAGAGAGGGCTTGGCTTCTTCCAGGATGGCTCTGAAAGAGAAAGTGATTCTACTGGCACCTCTGCTGCCCTCCTCTCCTCTGGGTACTCTGATGTGACTCTGGATGAGTCATAACCACAGGGTAAAGCAGGACCAGCTGCCCATTCAGCTCTGAACAGATGCACCAGGCAACATGTGGGAAGCCCTCTTCTATGTAGCAAAGGTTTCTCTGGACAGACTGAATGCTACAATATCTCCAGGAAGAGAGGAAAGTCCTACAACCCCTCTCATGAAGGAACTAGGTTCAGCTCAGCACACAGACACAGATCCCATGCAGATAAATTTAGATCTAGCTCTATGCACTCCTGATTTTCAGGGTGATGCTGTCTGGATCCTGACCCCAACTCTGCATCTTAAAAGTCTTCCCTAGAACAACTCACTGCTGCTCCATGTTGTTCTCTGGCTCTGAAGTCAGAGAGTCAGCTAAATTTCTTGGTCAGAAAAACACCTATGGATTCTCATTTACAGTGTAAGAATGCCTCCCAAAGACCCCAGGATCCTGTAGTCTTTTCATGCACCATATTTCCAGTGCTGTCAGAGAGCAGGAAGAGTGCAAGGAAAGAGACAGCAGGTAACTCCAGGGCCCGAATAACTTGATTTACCAAAGGGCCACATGTATAGCCAATCCATTGCATGATATTCCCAGTTAGCTCGTCCTGGCTGGGGCAACACTTTCACTCCAGTGGAAGCTGCACTGATGCTTCACAACGAGCTGGCAGAACAGGAAAAAAAATCATCACCTGTGCAGAGACCGTGCTGGGAACGAGTCTGCAGACACCTGGTGCCCAAATCGCTCTGTCATGGAAACATCTGCTCCAAAAGCCTTATGCCACTGCTTGCCTTCACGGGGCAGCACCTGCTGGCCACTGCTACTCTGCCTCTCTGAGGGCCCAGGCACTGCTGTTTCCCACAAGTGCAGCTGGCTCAGGCTCTCTAATCTGTTTTTCTGGGTGACCCAGCGCTGGCTCTCCAGCACACCAGTCCTTGGCAAAGACTCTGGCAGCACCTTGCTTCTCCAGCTGTCCTGTCTGTGGCCATCTTGCGTGGGGTGTGAAGCCCCATAGGCTCTTCCTTCTTGGCTGTGACTTGCAGACTCTCTCAGGGGTGGCCGCTGCTGACCCTGAGCATCCCCTGTATGAGAGCCGGAGCCAGTGTGCTGGCGTTGCAGAGCTCCTGTGCCAGAAGAGGGCTGGTGCTCCAGAGGACTGACCCCCACAGAGTTGTGGCATGCTCTCATGCACTCCTCCTCTGAGGCAAAGCTGTTTTTATTGCCGTGACAGCCACCGTACCAAAACCGGTTGCACTTGCCAACGACGGTCACAAAGTACCAGCGAGTGGTCCAGTTCGTGCAGGGGCCGTGAGCACTGGGCAGCAGGCATATGACAGGATACGCTACCAAAAAGAGCGGAACAGAGGGAGATGTGAGGGTCATGAAGCACAAAGGTCCAGGTGCTTCAAAGCCACCTATCTAGATGATCTGATGGGCCTTATGGGCAAAGGGCAGACGGGAAAGGTGGACACCTGAGTTTTGCGCCCAGCTCTGCTTTGAAATTGGGCAGCTGCTCACATGTTTCTTTCCACCCCAGTTTTGCCACTGGTGGAAGGAGAACCAGCCTCAGAGACACTTCTGAATCTGGATACTAGACAGATGCTTTATGGCCTTTCTTGGGGAATTGTACAGCTGCAAGGTTGGCGCTGGGGCTTCCTCTCCTGCAAGGGACATGTGGCTGCCATTTGTACATTTTCAGCCCACAAAGCAAGGGGATTAGACCCAGTTCTGAAGCCTCATGCATTACAGAATACCCCTCCACACATTGATACAAAGAGGAACACAGCTCAATGTGTCTACAAACCGAGCCCTATGCTCCAAGTCACAGGTATCACAGCCACATGCTGACAAACACCGAACGCCGGGCTCTGACTGAGGGGTTGTTCACTAAGCTGTGGTTGAGCAGAGAGGATCCAGAGAGCTTTCCCTTTCCCCAGGGCAGCCCCACAGGGCTGGCCACCAAGCAATCTCTGCGCTGCAGCAAAAGGGCAAGGCCATGCAGCAGCAACGTACCTGCAGAGGATACAGCTGGGAACTAAAGGAACAGAGATGCCCCTGCCCAGCAGCTCCAGTGCCTAATAGTACAGCAGGCACTGTATTGAATTCTGCTGGCTGAAACATCCATCCTTAGCTGTAGCTCTCATTCCACTCCTGTCCATGGGCTGTCTGAAGGCTAAGCACAGCACTGATTCCTCAGAGATGCCCTACTTCTCCTAAACCCAGGTAACTAATGTGGAGCACTCCAGGTTGCATCAGGGGAAAACAGCTCTCCAGAAGTCCTACAGACTGACAGAGATCACACAAACACACTTCTCTCCAACTACCAGCAGAAGACAAGAAGAATATCTGAGGTAGCTGACAAAACTGAACCATCTGGCTGCTTTTCTACGCTCCCTCCAAGCTTCCCCTGCCCCAGACACCAGACAGAACTTCTTTTCAAAGAGACAATTTACTACATTTTACAGAGAGCAGAGCCGCTACACAGGAAGCTTCCATACACCACTGGATTCTGTAGGACTCTTCCTATGTTTCTAAACCAAGAAGCCAAAGCGTCACTTACGGTAGTTGGGCCTGTTGAGACATCCTTCCCCTTGAGGACCTGAAGCTGAAGCGACATTGTCAAAACAGCAGCCATACACGGAACTGCGGCACTCGCCCGAGGGGTGCTGCTGGGACAAGGCTTGGCTTGCCTTGGAGACAGGAATTGAAAGCCAAAAGTTATCATGCATACATGAGGACAGTAGCACATGCAAGGCACCGCGTCCAAGCTGTCGGCTGCAGAAGGCCAGCTGTTAGAGGAACCACTATTTGTTTGCCTCCTAGAGGCTTTCGTGCTGGGAAGGGGTGGGAAACTTGGCTGTCAGCCATGGAGCCAGGACTGCATTCTCTGCAAGACAGTCCTAACCAGCCCAGCAGCAGGCCAGTTTTTTCAGCTGGCCCCACCAAGCACCCCAAGCTATGAGAGGAATTACCTCCCTGGCTATTTTGCTCTCAATTAATCTGCAGACTTGACAAAGACAATGAATAGTGGATATGTTTTTCCCATTTTTCCCTCCTAGAAATTGGATGGCAAGTTTCCAACTGACAGAAATTTGATTACTCAGGATTATTCAATCAGTTCTACATATAATGGTGTTCTACTTCTCAGACATCTCCCAACCACCCACTCTGCCCCCTGCTTACAGAGGATCACAGGTGGATGCCGCAGACTGAACAGGAGTGACGTGGGCCAAGGGGCTTGATTCCATGCATGGAGTATTGGTCTCCAGCATTACTGGCAGACATTAAGCACAACAGAAACCCACAATCTGAGTCACCGGCGTCAAATCTGAATCTTTGTATCTGATGGATGGCTAAAACACAAAGGGGTTTTTGTACTTACTGTTGGAGCAGTTGCAGTGGGCTGATTTCTGCTCACTTGAACATCACGGTAATATTGTGGGCATCCCAGGTTGTTTGGACCCTGGGCAGCCGACACTCCATCAGGACAGCATCCATACCTGCAGGCAGAAGGCAGAAGGGCTGCAGCAATACCTGACCTGCCTGGCTCAACAGGCACAGGCTGTAGATTCAGTAACCGCCAGGAAAGGCAACGCCTCACTGCTCAGGCCTGTCTACTTCCAGCTACCTGTTTCGGTGACAAGTGCTGAAGGGGCAACCTCTTCCCAAAGGGCCTGAAGCTGGAGTGTGCCCATCTGGACAGCAGCCGTGTGGGCTCCGATGACAGTCCTGAGAGCCAGTCCCTGCAGTGGGGTCCTGAGAGAAGCTGAGCTGATGGGAACCCGATGAGCGTGATTGGGATTCCCAGCGAACAGGCAACAAGTTGATGCCGTGGTCCTTGGTGGATGGGATATGGTGATTCCCGGAGGTACTATGGATCATGGAGCTCCCAGGGAGCATCCTTTCATCACCAGAATCTGGGGAAAGAACTCCTTAAAGCATGCAGGTGAGCATCAAAATCTGGTCAGTTTTCCTCATCTCTGCTCTCTTTAACCTGTCCAAGGCTACAGGGCAGGCTTTCCGTATCAGGATTCCACCTGAATATGTGTCTTCTGGCCTACTCTTCTGGATTTGTCCTGAGTTTCTTTTGCTCACTGCCCTGACCATTCTTCCCATTGTCCCATGAGAAACCACCTGCCACATTACCGTTGTCCCCTCACACGATTCTTTCTTCTTCCTGTGATCTGCTTTGGCCAGCATTTCTCTCAGCCAGCACTTAAGTCATGTTGCCAGAGCCTGGGATCTACGTACTGTACCGTCTTTTCTGCATGGACAGATTCAAATACCACTCGCTATTGTGTAAAAGAATCTACACTTTGTCCCTGGCTCCACAGATTTCTAGAAGCCCATGAAATGAACAAGAGAAAGGAAGAAAGAAGGAACATTTCCCTTACCACACCCTGTTTCAAGTCCACCCTCACTAAAAACCCAAACTAACAAAATTTTTCCAAACCTGTGGCAGGGCTGTTTGGGTTATAACGTGTCAGCAAGGACTGGCGAGTGACATCATATCCCATAGTGTCCTGCATGCTGGGGACCTCTGCAAATAGAGACACAGACAAGTAAGTGCAGATAGTCCAACCATATGTTCTCATAATTGCAAATGCATCCAGGAGCCAACAGGAGATTAAAGTTGATGAAAATGTTTCTCTTCTCCTGGAACAGCTGCTGAGCAGCAATTGGATTCGATTGGATTGTCAGGACAGTGACCTGCAATGAGCAGGCAGACAAAAGTCAGCATTTCAGCTCTGGCATGAAGACTAGACACAGACAGCAAGCAAAATCTTCTGAGCAGTTGTGCCTCCTTTACAGCTGGTCCACAGAGGGATTAGACTTGGCTATAGTTTTTAGCTACTGAGTCTGCCCACATTGACCGGGAGTCGTGGGGTCAGTCTGCAGCACACACTGCGACAGAGCCATCACAGAATGCTGAATTCAAAATGAACACACAGCAGTGTTGTTCCCAAGCCTGTTACACACACTTCAAACAGCACAGGTACTGGGACTCTGAAGATGCCATGGTTATACGTGCAAAACATAAACACACAGGATGGAGACAGGCAGAGAATGTAAGCTGGTGCAGAGCTGGGAATTTCTACTCCTAAACAAAAGCATCTTAGGAAAAGCTAAGTGTGCAGCAATACCACTCACGCTGCGGCAGGTAGCAGGGCTGCATGTTGCAGCTACCCAGGGTGGCTGGTTTCTGTGGCTGGATGGCTTTGCACGTCTCAGGACTGTAGAATTTGGAGTCACCGTCAGCACAGATGACTTGGCGCGTTCGGATGCCTGAATTGCAGCTCTTCGAACACTTGGGCACAGAGACAAGGCAAGTGAGCAGGCAGCAGAGGCCAAATGCAGAAACCCCACAGACCAGAACTGTGGAACAGCTGCATGATTAGCTGCAGGCTGAGTACAGCTTCCTCCACCACAACAAATCAAGCAATACTTCAGCTGGATTCATCTGAACCATTATAAAACCATACTTTAAATCATTTTACCAAATGTTGCACCCAGCCCTGAAGCATTAGGCTCTGAGCCATGCTCAGCCTGCAACATCCAGATGATCTGCTGTTACCCACAGTGGTGTGACACAGAGCTGGAGTGAATTGTTTCAGCCTGGCCTGAAGGCACCTCAATACCTTGGGGATCCACCAGCCGCAAGAGGTTCTGCTTTGAACTATGCACTCAAGAACAACAGTTTACAAACTGGGGCTTTCTTGTAAGCAGCTAACTGGAGGTTCTCTCACGAAACTGTGGATGAAGAGGGAGCAAAGAGCAGCAGCTCGGAGAAGGGGAGAGGGTGAGGTATCTGTGTAACCCACCTGCTCATGGCAAGCTCTACAAACATGGGGAGAGTATTTCTTTCTCTTATTCAGATCCAGGTAGGAGTCCTTCTGATATTGGAAAGCCAGGGGCCAGGAAAGATCAGATTAAGGTATGCAACTGCTGTAACTGTTATTAAAACTTGGCCCACATCTTATGAAGAACCAGATGTAACATGCTCTAACTCAGAACAAGCTGGTCTGGCTAGCACAGAAGGGAAAAAGTGTGTTTGGAAGTCACCTGATGCATTGGATCTACCCCGATCTCCTCCCCCCAGCACTTTTCCCAGGTTGAACAGAGTCTGGCTCCGTCCACAAAGACTAATCCAGCCGAAGCACAGTTTATCTGAACAATTACAAAAAACGTACTTTAAACCATATCACCAAACGCAATGACCAGTCCTGAAGCCTGGAGCTCTAAGCCATGCTGAGCCAGAGAGCTGTTCTGCTATTCACTGCGATGGAGCGAAGAATTGGGAATAAGCAGCAAGAGTGGATTGTTTCAGTTTATTGGCTGCATTTTGCCACCATCACTGAAACTATAATTCTCCCCACCAAAGGATTTATTTTTGCAGCAGCTGCATACAAAGCAGGCAGCAGATTAACTAGAGCATTACTAGTGCCAGTTGCAATGCAACTGTGAGCCAAGGGACTGGTAATGAAGCAGTACGTGCTCCCAGCCTCAGTCCACGTGCAGACTGCACGGGTCGAAGCTTGTTTTGCGAGGAGCACAGCAATACAGTCAGTTATTCCCGAACCATGCAAGTGCGATGCTCACCAGGCCCCAGTCGCCCACGTGCCAGCCAATTTCCTGGATGCAGTTCTCCTTAAGGCAGGGCTGGGTGGCCGATGGCTTTGGCTCCATTAGGCAAGCGAAGTCCTGAGCCTGAGAGCCCCGCTGCGTTCTGCAGGTGACGGTTCGGGTTTGGACCCCTTCCCCACAGCTGGCTGAGCACTGCAGAAAGGGGCCCAACAATTACGAGGAAGCACCTGGTTTCCACTTGCATTTCCAGGCTAGCATTAGGGCAGAGCACCATTCTGAGATTGCCTAAAACAACCAACCATCATTAAAATCATCTTCAGGGACAGGAGTTAGCAGAGTAGCTGTTTATGTTGTAGAAGAGACAATAAAGCATGGTAGATAGCATCTGGGAGATCTGAAGCTCACTGGATGATTTTGGCCTAGTCATATAATTTCTCTTGATCTCTACCAAAGAAGGCATGGAGAAAGAGTAAAGAATTCAAGGGAAGATAAAAAGATTAGGTTCTTGTATTGCTCATGTCTTCTTTCTGAAGACCTTGTTCTGCATCTTTACGGTGTGGAGCTGTGACACAACTTCTAGACTAGTAACTGGTTTGTGACATTTTCAATGTCCTCTTAAATTCACAGTGGTGTTTCCTGGAATCCAGCCTACTTCTTCATGAATTACCAACATCTCTTTCAAAGAGCATTAACTTGGGGACAGTCTGAATGACTTTAGATGAGCTTCCCAGCTGTGTTTCAGCCACTCATTTACTAACGTGATTTTTATCTCTAACAGTACATGAAACACAGGTGCTTTTGAGAACCCTGGAATGAATCACTTCGGAATCAGTTTGTAAGAACACGACACTTGGTGCCTTCCCCAAACTTGGTCCTCTTACTCCACAACCCTGAAGTCATCTCAGTATTCACACCTCATATCTCACAAAGGGGAGGGTGGTAGGGGGGAAGGACTTTACAAATCTAGGTTATCGTGCCTCAAAGTTGCATTTTATGCTGCTGCACCACTCAGACAAAGTACCACCACAAGATTGTAAGTCAAATCTTGCAAGCATGCACTTCTTTTTTAAAAGAGGATAATTCACTTGTGCTTTAGGGACTGAGTAGACACTACCTTTACTTTGTAAGTCCTTGGAACGTAAGATGCCTTCTAAATGTCTGGCTGCCAGCACTTAGCACTTACAGTTGGAACAGTTTCCTCTCCTAGAGACATAAACGCACACAGGCATCAAAAATGCACCACGCAGCCATGTGCTAAGAAGCCCTGCACTGACACACAGCAAACAGCAGGTCACCAGTGTTTGAAGAATAGCTTGCTTACTGACTGTTATGATTTTAGTACTGCTGCCCAGGGCTAGTAATGCTGAGGCAGCAATATGCATGGAAATAAACAGTGCAGGCAGGAGCCATGAGCTGCTGTTTTACCGAGGAGGGAGTGTTACTGCCCATCATCAGGTGATGGACAGCAGCTCCCACGCCTGCCTTCCACCTTCACCAGGCCTGACTCAGAAACTCAGCCAGTGCCATGTCTGGTGGATCTGATAAAAATAAAGGAGTGGGGAAAGGACTGCAGGGCCAAGTTCTATACCTCTGCACGCCACATATCCAGGGACACACACCTTTTACAGTCCCAGAAAAGGAGCCTGGCTCTTTATCCCCAAGCTTTGGCAGATCCTCCTTCAATATGTGCCAAGAGGCAGTTACCTCCCATGCACAAACTCACCTCCGACCAGGGCCCTGTGCTCCAGGTCGCACACTGTCTCATGTTGCAGGGCTGACTGCGGCGAGGCTGCTGTGCGAAGGCCATGCACTCAGCGTTATCCACCACCCCTTGGGAGCTCTGGCCGTCGAATGCCACGCAGTAAACAGACCGAGTCTGGGTGCCCCCACCACAGGTAGCTGAGCAGGGTCCCCACTCCCCTGTTTTCCACCTGCAGATCAGAGAATCAAGCAAACAAATGTAAGCCCAGCTAAACTGCCCAGAGGCACCAGAGAGGTTAGTGCCGTGTCACTGCTGTAACCAGACAGGGAAAATGTCCGTTTGCAGAATAAAGTCAGAGGCGAGTTCCCATTTGACCGAAAGCTGCCCAGCTTAATTGGCAATGCAGAGTATGAGTCCCATTCCAGAGACAAATCCTCAAGTACGAAACACTTATATCTCTGGTAGTGCAGAGCTCTCCCAGAGGGGGAAGTTTTCTTTCTGTGGCTTTTGGTCTCCTGATGTTTGCAAAAGTATCATGCCTGGAACGGAACACCAAATTAAAAAAACCCAAAAAACCTCCCCAAAACAAACCAGTCCAGATCAGCTAAAAGAAAAGCAACCCACACCAGCCTAATGACCCATTACACTCCAGCCATTATCAGAAACAGCAAAACCAAGCCAAGACCTCACTCTGCCTGCAAACCATGTCAGACACTTTCAGAAGTGCTTGTGAACTTTTCACTGACAGCCAGCAGAAAGCTGGTTTATTCCTCCCATTGGCCACATTCTCCAACAGCGGCACGCACAAAAAAGCCCCAAAAACTTTAAACAGATTTTTGTCCTGTGTTTGGTTGCTGAAGCTGTCACAGAAATGATACACCCTTGCTAACAGAAGGGAAAATGTCCACAAAATCATCTGGATGCTAAAATCCCTGCCCTTGTCCACTCCTGTATCTTAGAGCTGCCTAGGTAGCCGGGAGCACAGCTTACGTGGCCTGGCTTCAGGGACAACATGATGTTTCATTCCCGACCCCAATGTGCTGCACAGTCTAAAGGCACTGGTGGTGCAGGGGGAGCATCATGGTGATCTGCTTGTCAGCTGCTACCTCCCCTTGCAGTCAGGTAAGCCCCATCCAGGGTGTGAAGGTAGTTCATGACTTCTCCCTTAGCCTTCCAGCTGCTTCCCTGGTCTGCCCTCACCACCCCTAAACTGAATTTCACCCAGCCAATTCACATTCACACCCTACCAGAAACTCCACAGCAGACTCAACCAAGAGAAAACATGTTCATCTCCTCAAGATACCCTTCTCTCTTGTTAAGGGTGCAAATATCAGCCCCAAATTGAATGACTTTTGCTGTAAAATAAGATGTTCCCTTTGGAAAGGGAGTAACTACAGCAAGTAGAAGCCACTTAGAGTAATGTAGTTGCAGGGCTCAAAACAAATTAATTGATCAAGATTTTTCAGAAGCTCCAGTGGGGATAAAAAAACACAACCCAAACCTGTATTCTGTCTATTGTAAAGCAAATGTACGGTTTTAGAAAGGCTGTATCAACTGGATGGGCTCACCTACAGCTTCCTTCAACTGTGAGTCAAGACACCTTGTCTGACACTTGTTTTATTTCCTTTGAAAGACAAGGTCAACCATAAGGCTGGGACCATCATGACAGGGCAAAGCACTGCAAGTCCTAGGCTATTAGCAGTTTGCTGAAGGACAACTGTATTGTTTTTTATCTTTTTTACTTCTCATACCTCAGTGTACATTGTAAGTATTTTATCTGTCACATCCTTGTACTCATCACAGTATATAGGCATTTTTCTGTAGGGCTCATGCCAAAGAAGAGCTTTTGAGGAACTCTGAGGCTTTTGCTTTGGCACTCTGGGATCCTGGCCAATGTTTCAGTCTCCCAATCCATCATGGTCTCTCTTCCTTTCTGTTCTTTTATTTATCTTGATAAACCAAACAAAAATCTTCTAGAACATCCCTTCACCTCTCTACCCTGATTCCAGAGAAAAAACAATTATCAGGATAAGCAGCCAAAAGCTATGAAAAAAACTGTCCCCTTGTCAGTCCCATAAGAGCCAAGTTACCAGGAGCATGCACAACCACCTAAGCAAAGCTGCCAGCCAGCACCCTCCACCATCATTTTCATTGTCAAGAATCAAAAGCAAAGCCCCACCCACTGCTACCACCAGTGCCAAAGAGGAAAGCCCTCGCATCCCCACAGACTTCAGTGGGCAATGAGGTGGAGAGCAGAAGAGAGCAGCTGCCTTCCTGTGCTTTCTGTAACCTCCTTCTCCTCGTTACCTCTTCATCTGAGAGCTCCGTGCTCCACTGTGACTCCAGGCTTGTGGCAGATAGACGTAAGAAGTCCTTTATACACAGAACAAAGGATTTAAAGAACTTAAAGCAAGTAGCTACAGGCTACCATGTATTCAGAAAGGCTCCCAGGTTTCCAAGTGCCCTCTCACACACAACAGCACTCTCACAGGCCTCTGCTGCACCCACCAGATACACAGTGAGATACACAGTTAAGGATCTGGATGCTCAAGTGAAGCCAACTGCAAGGCTATGTCAGCAAGGGACAGGGTGCAAACAGCTGGGTAAAGGGGTTTGGAAATGCTGGAGAATAAAAAGATTCCAGGATTCAGCCCTTTCTAAGAGCAAGGGCACTGGGAATGCAGAAATCACGTAAAAATGACAACAGCTCTGACCTAGTCCTTTGTTTTTGCCAGCTCCAGTTGAAGAGAACAAAACCTAAAAAATCTGTTTCCTATCTGCAACATGGGCTAGACTATCTTCCACAATCACATGCTGGAAAGCAAATTTAATTGGTCTGTAAAGTGAACATAGGACACATCAAGCCTTGTGCACACAGAAATGCTCATCGCAATGTTATCATCACCAGCCTTTGTCTTGGGCTTTCTCTAAGAAGTGAAACATTCCCTTGGAAAACACCATGCTGGTGGGAAGGAGTAGTGAGAAGGTCATTCTTTTTCTGAGCTCTAAAAGCACCTAAGGAAGAAGTCAGAGTCCAGAAGAGGAAAGGAAATCTTACCGTTTTGTCTGGGGACAAGTCTGACGGCCACACGTCCTGTTATTGTCTGGTTGTGGTTTATTCCTGCACATATAGTCCGGATAAATTTCATTGTCTATGGTACAAAACACCAAGCGGGACTGGAAACCTAAAGGAGAAGCAAGAGAGTATCTTGGTTAATGTAAGCCACCCAGGATCAGGTTTGAAATGCACTGGTGTTGGCAAGACAAGTTACTAAAGTCATGCAGAATCCACGCCTGTCCCCGCCAAGCTGGAAGAGTCAGGTGTGGTTCTTGGTCTGTCACTATCTGTATGAATGATGCCTCCCCACATTAGGAGTCCACCGGAAGGGCAAGAGAGACAGAATAGTTCGATGTAGCTGAGGGGTGTTTTGCTGTTGTTTCAGTGGACTGTGACTCATGAGGGAAGTGCCATACCCATGTGCTGTTCATCAAGGAACCCTGCATGGTGTGTGCAGTATACAGCAGCAGAGCTGAGGGCCTCCTGTTAGACCCGGAAGGTCAGTCTTGTGAAGACTGGGCACTGGAGAAAAAACTTACAACTCTTCACACTTTCTACAGGATAAGAGTGCTCAGCAAAGGCAATATCAGCTCCTACAACCACAATATGACAAAAGCTCTTGAAATGGCCATCAGCACAGAAGACCAGAAGAGGCTCATAGAAACTCTACATACTTTCAGCTGGAGGGGTTTTTTTTGTTTGATAGGGGGTTTTGGGTTGTGGTTTGGGATTTACTTTTTAGCTTAAAAAACATAACTTTGCTCATGGAAGAATTTGTGATTGAACATGATGTGACACCCCAGGAGATCTGACAGCCCCCCTGAAGATAGGGAATCTTCCAGGCTATGGTAGAGGGGAATGATGTGACTCAGTTATATGGGCCAGGTCAGCTTGGAGAGGACATCTCATGTGGTTGAAAAGGTCTGAAAAGGACATAAAGAACTGAAGCAGAACAAAATAAAACAAAGGCTACCTATGAAGAGCTTTAACAGATCCTAGTAACAAGTCTGAGGACTAGGACATGGAAAATAAGACAGGACAAGGAATGGGATACAGTCCTGTTGTGAATCCATGTGTGACCCTCCCTTGACAAAACCTCAGCTGCCCCCTGCAGATACCTGTGCTGTCTTCCAGCAGGAGACTGCTAGGAAGCAGCTGCAGAGGGCAGCACACAGTCACACTGTCTTCAGGGTGTGGATATAAACCTTACACCAGCCCAGAGACCATGTCCTGTCCCCTTACCTCCTCCACACTCGGAGCTGCACTCGCTCCAGGAACCGTAGCTCCAGCTGTAACCTGAGGCCTGTCCTTGCACGGGCAGGTAGTACTCGTACTGTACCCCTGGGTTTGGCTCCTGGCTGATGAGCTGCGAAAGCATGGGATAAGGTCAAGAAAATAACAGCAGCAGCACTTTTTCCCTTCGCAGCATTTTCCCACCGTGTCTGAGGGTTCAAGCTGACCTGCTTCCCTCCCGTTCAAGGAGCACTTATTCTCTGTGCTGCATTTTCTCCTCCCCTTCTATGCTACTCTAGAGAGCATTATTTTTCAGAGAAGGGTGCATTCATCCCTCTCAGAGACAGAAGTTCCAGCTGTTCCCGTAACAGTAAGTACCCTTGCCTGGCCTGCAGCACACTATAACAAGCAGTGCCCTAGAGCTTGTCCTTGCCTCAACCCAACCACATTTGGTCTTGACTCTCTATTCCCTTAAGTCAGAGCTCAAGGGAATAGGCAGGAAGCCAACATCAAGCCTTGCCCTGCTCCATTCTGGGCAACAGAACCAGAACCCCCCGGGGACCCTGTCACTTCTCCAGTCTTCCCCATGTGGTCCCCCCCAATGCATTCCCACTGCACAAAGTGAGAGAGCACAACCATCAGCAGGGGACAGGCACAGCCGCTTACCTCAATGACGAGGGGTTCTGTGGTAGGACCCCGGGCGTGGAGGAGCTCTGGGGCCAGATCACCCTCCGAGCCACGGTCATAGTGCATAACCGTGCTAGCTACATGCAGTGCTCGGCTGAAGTCAATTGTCCAGTGCCCGTTCAGATAGTACTCCCCTCGCACGTTCTTGACAGCTGGACAAACCCACATGCCAGAGAGGAAAAGGCAGTAAATTAACACACCTATAACCTGACACTTCGCTCCAGATACCACAAGACAGGGCCTGCTCTAGACTCTCAGCTCTGCCATTTGAACCACAGCTTCTTTACATCAGTATGGTAACTCTTTAAGTGTGGTGACAATCTAATATGGCAACATCTAACAACACAGCATAAATTCACACGTCAAAAGAGGACCATAAGAACTCAACAGGGATGCTCCTGTTTCCACTCAACATTGCGTTGCAGGTGTGGCAAAAAAAATGAGACCATCATCCTCCAACAGTACTGTCCCCCCGTCTCTCTTGCAAGCAGCTGCTCCACCTTCAGACAGCAGTTCTTGCCAGTTTTGCTGCAGACCGAGCACTTTTTTTGCTGCACAACCAAATACCTCCAGTACATTCCAGCCCTGTCCCTGCATTCCCCACTGTTAATCATCAAGGCACAGTCTGTGTCAGCCTTGCCATTAAGATGTAGGATTCACACCCCACAGCCTCTACATCACTATCCTGTTCATCAGATATTCTACTCAGAAGACAAAGACTTTGGTGCTGCATCCTCTTTTTTACAAAGGAAAGCCATCAGACTCATTTGTCCAAAACATTGGGCAATGGAAGAGTCAGAAAACAGAAGCGTATTTGCTTTCTCCACTGGAATTTCCTCAGCCCTGCCCAGAAAGCTAATTGAAGACATTTCCCCCTCCTTTTTGTCCTCTGCAGCAAGACCAGAGTTTGAGGTTGTACAGACAAATACCCAAAAGATATCTATGGGGAAGAGAATTCCATCCCACACTTTTGGGTGACAGGAGGAGTTAGGGTTTACATCCACCAAGCAAACAGCAGAACTCATAGCCATGTTTTGCTATATCAGCTAGACTCCATGTAAGTTCCAGGCAGGAAGTCTGAACATGGTTCAAGTAATTTTATTCCCCACCCAACAGCAAGATCACCACAGGAGAGAAAAAGAGGTAAACCTGAAGGCCAGAGTCGAGCATCACTAACATTTCAAGGATACTCAATATTCAGACCCTGATTTTCAGAAAGTTTTTCCCTCTGCCATATCAAGCCCTCAAGATAAACATCTGAAAGCCCAATATACCTGAAAACCAGATTTTAACACAATGACTGGAATCCAAATGGACTGAAACACAGGTTCTGACATCAGTCTTACCCAAAAAGTTCCTGCTGGGCATAACCTCCTTAATTTGGATGCTTGTGGCTCCCACAGGGATGATGAAGATTTGATTGTACCCTGAAAAAAAAGGAAGGGGATTATTCAGTATCTGTCTATGGATGCCACACAGTCACTTTTCTGTGCCAAAGATGCTCCTGGTTTTATTGGTGCCTGAACAACTGAATGAGCTTTTTGACGGCAGCTTGAAGCATTTCAGCCGTCACTATCTGCATTCTGAATAGCTTCATCCGAAACTATCCACAGGTCAGTTCATGTGTATAAAGTTCCAACTACATCTCAAAAAAGTAAGCATGGGGGTCAGTGCAATGTTCATTTTTTATATTTTAAAATCTTTGGAATTTCAGCAAGTATTATATTGGAGCTCAACACAGAGAGATTTGACCACAAGTGCAGTTGTTATCTTGAAATGACTCAAAATTGGCCAAATGTAGAAGATGCAGTCCCATTTCTAGCCTTGCACCAATCCTGGTGGGGCTGTCAAGACACAGGGGGACAGTGTTATGAAGGAGGTATGTAACTACATTCATATGGTACATTAACAGCACCTGCTGGAGACTGAGCAGGGAAAGACACCAGCAGCATTGCAAGTACATCCATCCGTACTGAGACTAAGGAAGTGATTCCCAGGATAAGGCCATCAATACAATACATTTGCTGATGCTAAAGCAGCTGAAGAGCCACATGCCATACAGACATTTCAAGTGAACATCCAAGCCTACAACAATCATGTGAGCAGATGTCTCCATCAGCCCTTGCAGGAGCTTGAGTTTAGGTTTAACTCTCTCCTTCTCACCCGCCCAAACTACCCAAATAATGTGTACCTTTGGGGAGGCTGGGTACATCAAAAGTGCCCTTCACACCATAGCAGGTGCTGCCATCTCCTCCACACTGCAGGCACTTGTCCTCCGTCTTGGAAGATTCCAGCATGTTATCACAGCCAACGGCCTGTCAGAACACAGGAGCATTGACATGAATAAACCGTAATGGCAGAGGAAAGAAAAAAAAAAAAAAGGCCTAATTCTGGACTGATCTAACGAGAAAGCCTGAATCCAGGGAGTCTGGGAAGTCAGGATAGGGCAGAGAAGGAGTTGTCAGAGAAAGGACAGAGTTGGCATCTTCTGTTTCACATTCAGAGACAGATAGATAAATGCTGTCCACATGCTACTCAGCACCTTGGAAACTGAATGATTCTCCTTTCCTGGTGCTATTATGAAAGGCCACGTAGAACAAAGACTGTCAGAAAGACTGACAGTCACAATGGTAAATGAAGGAAACAACGAGATGACTAACCTTACAAGCTCCCTCTACACAGATGTCCCGCTTGCCAGGTTCACAGGTAGTCCCATCTACCACTGCTTCCTTGTGCCTGTAGTAGAAATTTTCTCCCTTGGGAATACAGTTTAACTCACACTTATTAGGTGCTGGTAGGAGAGAAAAAAACAAACATTATATAGTAGCTTGATAATGCATCAGGAGCCTGGTTTTAGATCACAGGAACAGAAACAGGTAGGTGGACTGATATTAAGTGGCAGATATTGAAGAAATTTCTGGGTCACAAACTGCTGGGGGCTGGAAAAATACCCTAGTAAAGCCTCACTGTGTGCAGCCATTTCCTTGGGCACCTTGGCTGGCCAGTGGATATTTGGTTATTCCTTAGTAGGGCTGTTCTTATGCTCCCTTGGAATACAAGGCTTTCTAGAATGAGAACAAGTGCTGGTACAGAACACAAGGGAACCCTTATCTTACCAGCCAACAAACAAAACTTGAAATACATCTTGAAATCCCTCATATTTTGTTAAACCACTGTGAATGATAACATATCAAAGCTCAGAGCAAGGACCTCTGGTTCCTACACCTGCCTTCTGAGCTGGTTCCTCACGAAAGCATGGGCCAATTGAAAGAGATGTCATATTTTCTGAAGCACTCCTCAATTATATGCATTTGTTTCTCCTGTGCCCTGCTAATATTCTTTTGCCAATATTGAAAAATACAGCAGAGCCTCTGCTTCTTTAATAATTTAGGACCTAGCTGCAACCAGTTCCAGCTTTCTTGATCAATGTTTCTGAAAGAACGGCTGTTACAAGAGATGACTATATATTGCTGCAATGGGACCTGTCTCTTGGCCCGTGCATCCAGTGTCTTCGTGAGAGCAAGGCTTTGCTGCTGGCAAAAAGATTTTTTCCATGCGACCCCCTGCCCCACCACTCCAGCTAAGGAAGTACCCTACAAGGATACCACAGTCAAAAACATTACAGTCACTTCAAAACATACTGTTAATAGTTAGGGATGACGTATAACCCTACATGTTTATCATTACCTCCATAATACGGAAGCCACTTGTATTTCTTTCCTTGGAATTCTGTCCCATCAAACTCTGCACATTGCTCTGCCCGGAAATCCCGGGAGCCTTCTGGGCAGCTCTGGAGGAGAAAATGTTTGTATTGGGCCATTATAAAAAGGATGAAAATTAAGTGTACAAGGAAAAAAAGGGTTTTATTTGTTTTTGCTCCCACATAAAATCAGGGCCATAAATTCAATATGCTTTTGAAGGGGTACTGTTAATGAACTGCATTCACCAGTGATGCCAGAGAAAGAAAAACTAATAATGACATATTACTTCTGAAGAAGAATGATGTTTGTCTGGGGAAAAGGAGCAACATGCAAGCCAAAACAAAACCAAAAACTAGAGCACAAACAGCACTATACCTGAACGTTGCAAGACCGATAGCTTCGAGTTGGTCCAACACAACTGGAAGCACCTTCTGTCCTGAAAGACAGAAAAAGAACATGAAACTCTTTGAAGAATACACACATAAAAATCACCTCATGGCAGACTTTACAAATCACCTTCAGGTCAACCTTTGCAGTTTCCTGAAACAGGAAAATACCTAAATTGTACTTCTTTTCCACTACGGCAAGCTGGCATCTTCTAGTGCCATTTTCTGCCATGGTTTGCATTCTGGCACGAATAAGACGCACACCATGAATGATTGCAGTATAGCTCTTCAGGGTCGTGTTTCAACTAAATACTGGAAGCAGAGCTTTTAGTCCTTTGTCCACCAGCAAACAGTTGAGGTGTCCATACCAAACCAGAGCAGCAGGAGGGTAATGGCCAATTCAGAATCAGTACGCATATCATCTATCATGTTGTTTATGTGCACACTAGGCCTCTTAGTAGGAAGAGCTAAACATGCCTCTGGAAAGTGTGCAACACCCTCATTCCAGTCAAACGACTCCAGCAGAGAATTATGGAGAGTAACAGTTATGGAAGAAATTGATCTGAAAATCCAACCAATGTCTAATATCTCAGCATTCCTAAAATGGAGAGACAGGCCCCCAGGGATTCTGGCAGGTGTCCACCATAACACACAGCTGTATACCATAACACACAGCTTTCAAAAGAGACCTTTCTTTATTTTGGGTGGGAAGAAGCAGTGCTTCATAACTCTGGATTCTTCTATTTAAAAAAAACCTCTCTCATTTCTCTAAACATAAAGAGACTGATTTTTCAGGATGTTATTGAGAGTCTGGCTTTGTTTTTATCCACAACAAGATCTCTCAGGTCCATCATTCCCAACAGGCACAGTCCCAGTAATTGTCCTTGCTGCGTCTAACCCAGCTGCAAATGAGATGGCACGGCATTACCGCTGCTTGAGCCAACTCCACTCTTCTGTTTCTTCTGGGGCAATTTACCTTCCTGGGAATCACAAGCCTGAGAAAATCTTGGCACAGACACCAGCTCTCAGGAGAGAAACCTGCTGCTCTGGGCTGTTCTCCCTCTCCCACAGGCCTGCCATGCCAGACCTGATTGAACAGCTGCTGCCTCACCAGTCACCCGATTGCACAGCCTCAGAGCTCACAGAGAAACCGCTGCGCTCTAGTAAAGGAGCCAAAGCAAGAATGTGTTGAAGAGAGCGCTATTCAAAACAGCAGTGACAAGACTGAAGCTGAGGATCATCTCAAATCAGAATCAGGTGATTTATTCCCCTGGAATCAAGCACTGGGTCATTTTTGTTCTGGATGTATATTGGAGCATAAGTGCAGGAGCTCAGTAACAGAAAAACACATTTAAAGAAAGAAAAAGGAGGTTAGCCCTCACCTTTGGGAATAGCAGCGTCGTTGCCGAAAGCTGACTCCACCGCCACAGCTCCGACTGCACTTGCCCCATTCACCCCAGCTCCCCCAGACATCAATCTGCCGTTTCATCCGATGGCTCTGTAAATAAAAAAACCCCACGGACATATCAAATAGGCATAGCAACACAAGAGAAAAAACAATGAAAATGAAGCAGAGCTCCTATGTGTTCTCTTGCAAGAGACACTGTCTTGCTGGGCTGTATTCCTCGTATGAAAAGTGGCAGAGAATAATACATCAGAAATGTCAAGCTTCTAATATCTAGGAGTATTAGCTTCCTGAAGACATATAGCACATACAGCTTTATAATCTCCCTTAAACTGTTACTGTTTGTCTATTCACAGAATCTCAGCACTTTTGAATAACTATCTGAAAGAGGATAACATCTCCCTCTCAGCAAGGCAGCAAAGGCAAATCATTACTTCAGGGACCATGAGCACTGTCACTCCACACCAGATCAATAGAGCCACTTAATCCCAAATCCTTGGCTCCAAGCCAGATACTTAAAAGAAATAGAGGAAGCAGTAAGGAAACCCCCAGAACACACTTTTTACTGCAACAAAATTCCATACGTGGACCTTTTTTCCCCCTACCCAACTGTGTTCAATGATGAGGTCAAGGTCTGGGCCATCATTAGCTACAGCCTTAATTCATTTTGTGTTTAGAAAGTCTGAATGGATACTGACACTGAGAGAAATAAGCATGATAATATAGAGAAGAAATTACAAGTGCAATGGAACCAAACAAAATATATTGTCTTAGAAGCACATGAAATAGCATATTTTCAGGAAAAAAGGGCCTACTGCAGCTGATGGGATCCACATACGGCAGGACATGGGGTCTAGCAGTATGAATAGCAATATCCTGAGAAAAAAAGAATAATTGCGTGATGCAACAGGATTAAATTCGCTTGGGAAAAGAAGGTAAATGCAGGGTTACACAGGGAGTGATGCTGTAAAAACAGGGTTTGCTGTGCAGCTGCACCTGCAGGGCAGTTTATGTATATATTACACAACTGAGAAAGTAATGCATACCATTTGGGCACCTGGACATTTGGGGTAGTGAAGAGTGGGCAGGCAGTGAATCAAAAGGTGAAAAATTATTGAGATGTAGTCCAATTCCCTTCCATATGCGTAGTATACCACCAAATCGACATAACCCCTGGGTCTGGGTCCCAATCCATCCCCTAGTTTCACACAGCCCCTTTTGACTTGAACACAGCACCCTATGTTCCCATCCTCTACATTTCCATTCCTTCCTCCTCACTTTAAGAGTGTAATTCTCACTTCAGTTAACTGATAACTGCTTTTACATAAGACATCCAGGTCTCTGCTAGAAATAGGAGCTAGCCTAATAAATTATCCGGTGAATCCAACTCAGGCAAGATGCGTGGGTTAATCCTCCCTTGTCATTTAAACAGTATGTGTAATTTTCTACACATACTCCCTGCCTGATTGTACGTCCCTGAGCTGCAGTCTTGTTTCTCTCTTTCACCCTCTTTTAAGGAATAATTCCTTGCTGCTGGCAGAGAAACAGTCAGAGATGTTAGCCAATCGTATTTATGCACTTACTACCAGATTACCCACAACTATCTAGCTGAAGAGTCACCCCAAATTCTTCCTATTACCTACTTTGCTCTAATGTGAAATACTTTCTTCCTAGCCCATGCTATTTGATTTTCTTCACACAAGTTTTGTGCAATTCTTTCTAATACCTTGGCAAGCAAAATCCTTCAGGACAAGTTTTCTGGTTCAGACTAACTCTGTTTGCCTTCACCATGCTCAGTCAGTGGCACTACCCTGGTTACAGCCACTTCTACATACCTTCTCTCTGCCAAGTCAACATCTCCCTGACCCCTTGCCAAACCCTTCTCCCATTCTTCCATCCCAGATATTGAGCTCAGTGTTTGTCTTCTGCATTCTCATTTGCCTTTCTGGGAGTAATCCCATCAATAGAGTTATAGCTTTCAGCAAAGCATCTTATTTTCCCTGGTTTTTCTTTCAGACACCTAATTCCTCCCCCTGTAATCCCTCCTCCCTTACTCTCAAAAGAATGAAACATGCTACCACTCTGTTTCTCTGCAGTCTTATTCCTCTATATCAACCGAGTGATTTAGGAGTAGTATTAGCTCACCCTGGAAACAAGGGACCTTTCAGTCAGCATAAGGAAGAAAACATGTACATAAAAATCCAAAGGAAGAGCATTTGAAAGTCAGATTACTGGAAGGCAACTAGGACAGAAAGCCATTCCCTGATACACACACTAACCTGATAAATATTCCAATATCCCTCCTACAGAAGTAGCGCTCTTCATTCCTTCTATAGAGAGCAAAATCTGCAGGGACTCTTTGTTGTAAGGTTTATGCATACACAGAACACAAGAACAATAATTTTCTCAGTATTGCTCCATTTATATATACCCAAAAAGGGGCATCAGCCAGAAGAATCCTCCCAAAGCTGTACAGTGTTAAAGAAACATCTTAATAGGGGCCAGACTCCAACATTCAGAAATCCATGCACAGTCCTCATTACTTCAGTAACTGCATGCATGTGTATGTGTCTTGGTTTCAGCAGAGATAGAGTTCATTTCCTTCCTAGTAAAGGGAATACCACTGTGTTTTGGATTTAGTGTGAGAATAGTGTTGATACACTAATGTTTTTTAGTTGTTGCTGAGTAGTGCTTATACTAAGTCAAGGGCTTTTCAGCTTCCCACGCTTTGCTGGTGGGGAAGCACCCAAGAAGCTGGGAGGGAGCACAGCCAGAACAGGTGACCCAAATGGCCAAAGGGATATTCCATACCATGTGACATCATGCTCAGTATATAACTGGGGGGGAGTTGGCCGGGATGCGATCAGTGCTCAGGGACAGGCTGGGCTTTGGCTGCCAGGTGGTGAACAATTGTACTATGCATCACTCATTTCATATATTCTATTATTATTATTATTTTCTCTTCCTTTGCTGTCTTATTAAACTGTCTTTTCTCAACCCATGAGTTTTACTATCTTTTTCCCCTCTCTTTCCCAATTCTCCTCCCCATCCCACTGCGGGGGGCGGGGCAGGGACCAAGCGACTGCATTGTGCTTAGTTGCCGGCTGGGGTTAAACCATGACAGCATGCAGGCAAATATAAAGCTGCATATTTATAACAAATAAGAAATCCAGTGTTACATAATCTGATAACAAGATGTTATTAGATGCTATCAGCTAGTTTCTGTTCCAAAAGCCTCTTTCTGCTCTCTTCAGACTCTGGAATGCTTTTATCTGTTGTCAGCTAGGAAGACTAAATCCCAGTCCCTCCTGGACCCCAGAACTAAAAAATCTACAAATTTCATTGTTGTTACCAATTTACTCGGCTTCATTCCCCCCTTGCTTCAACCTAGCACGCATACACGAACACAGTTCCTTTATCTGCAATAGATATATTTTTTAATGTTTCAGAAAAAGCCAGAGAAAGCGTACAACCATCTTAATTGACTTCTAAAAGCTCCAGAATGGACAGTCAGTTAATGCCCAACTGCTCTATCTATTTTTATTACCTGTTGAGACAACAGAAACGCATATCTTCTCGGGATATTGATGATGCACATGATCTTGGCACCACATGCTCTCAGTGCTCATTGGTAAACAGGCTGCTGTGGTATAAAAGTTTAGAAGGCCAGCAATTTCATTTTTATGAACACTGCATTGCTTTCATCAATTCATAGACAGATGCATTGCTGATATAGTTGCAGCATCTGCTGTTATCAGGCCAACTCTATCAGATATAACCGGCAAGTAAAAAGGCTATGCTTCTGAATCACTAGAGCTCCAGACTTTGCCTTTAAAGACAATTCCAATATGCACCAGACACAAACAAAAGAATTCTGGAAAAGGGCCCTAGATAGCATAATATATACCGTATAATATTTACTTTTATATATGAACCATGCACTGGAAGACGAGTTATGAATGGGGCTAGACTCAGAAAGACGGAAAATGTTGGCAGTATGTAGGAACACTTTAAAAAGGGTCCTTAAAAGACTTCTTGGTCAGTCTGATGAGATGGATAGGAAACTATGCATGGGAAGAAGACTGTGCTTCCCAGACAGATGCATTGCAGGCATGCAGTGATCCAACAAGTTCATATAACCAAATGTGGACTTGCAATTCAGCATGAGTAATTTCCTAGTGCTTTGTTGCAAGTCAGATGCAACTCAAATACTAGCAAGCTATCAAAGCAAACATCAATTTACTATACAGCCTAAAGCGAGCTGTGAAAGTCTGCAGTCACAGGTCCAAACAATCTAAATCCCAGCCAAATTCTTACCCCTAATGTTTCCCTTACTCCTTGGGTACCTTTGAGGGCCTAGAGGTAGTCAATCCGAATTATTCTGTGATTCTTTGTGCTGCCTTTCCAGACTGACAAGCAGCAACAAAACATCATGTTACACCGCTCCAACAGTTGTTGCTCAAAGCACATGGTTACTGATACCCGTGCTATGCCTGAGGGGTTTTGGACAATGCTAGTGCTTGCTTTTAGCTCAGCAGGTCACATAGCTTTGGTCCATTGAGCTGCAACTGAAGCATCTTTTTGGACACTGAAAAGTTTTTACTATGATTTCTTGAGCTGCATCACATAGTTACTAGACTCCATTCAGATCCAACACAAGTCTTGGTGCCAACACGGAGGACAGTGTGGGAAATCCTTGACGCTGGAAGTTGATAAAGCTCTGTACAATTGTTATCCACTGAAAATAGATATTGTTGTCAATGATCAATCAATGTGAGGTTGATTCCCCAGGTGTCACTATTATTTTATGCAGCATTTCTGTGGCTTAAAAGTATAGTAAAAATCAGACTCTTTCCTTAACCTTCCTTAGTATTTATCAAATAACACTGCATCCTTTTATTTGATAAATATCTGCTTTCTGGGGTTTACAGTTTCTGATATAAGGTTAATGTTTATTTTGATGCACCCCTGAACTGTAGCCCCATTGATGAAACATGTATGAAAGAAGGGTGAAAACCAAACACATTACAAAAGAAAGTTATTACCACAGTCATTTATTCCATAATGGTTTTATTGCCAAAGCCTCAGCAAGCAAGAAGTCTTAAATGAAAAATGCTGCTTTGCTAAGTTTGAATTATAATTGCTTAGAGAAAAGTTAATAAGGGAAGGAAAAAAACCCAAACCCAAAAGTGCCACGGTGCCCCGAGGGCTGGCTGCTCCCTGTGGGCTGGGGGCCAGCAGCATGGTGCTCTCCCGGGGCAGCAGTGCAGGCTGGGGGCCAGCCCCATCCCCGGGCACCAGGCACTCCGGCCGGAGCCAGGCCAGGACGTGGGACTGCAGGTGGGCCTGACTCGTCGGGCCTGTGGCCGGGCAGGGCTGTGGGCAGCTGGGGATCAGCCCTGCTGCAGCATCGCTGGGGCAGGGGCTGACAGACCTGGGTGGCTGCAATGGGGTCCTGGGCAGTGCGCAGGCTGGGGTGAGGCCAGTCAGGGCCAGTAAAACCTAGTAGTGCTGTTAAGGCCCTGACAAGAACAAACATGGAGTGTATTCTTAGACCGTGTACTTTTCAGGACATGAACCATTTCCTTCTCCTTTCTATATCCAGAAGACCCAGCCAGTACTACAATCATGATCACCACATAGTAAGCCCTGCAAGGCATGTGGCATTCACCACTCACACTTAATTGAAAGGGAGCTGAAAAACTTCCGTGTACCTCACACGTTTATAATGTAGATAGATGCTACTGTTCCAAGAGATGCATTTTCAAGATCAATCCATCTGAAACCAGCTATGCTATTAGCTGAAAATGCAACAAAAAAATAAGCGAATGAATCAGACCAACACCAGCAAAGCATTTTTTTTATAATTCTGTCTTAACCATTGATCTTGGCTTAGACACAGCAGGCTTGCAAAGAGCTTTGAAGACGAAGAATGCCAAGTACCATTTTTATGAATAATGAATAAGCAATCAAAGAATTGCATTTGAGCAAAACTAGAAAAACAAGAATGAAAGTGAACAAGATGGTGACAGCAGGAAATGAAATACAAAATGGTACAGAAGAAGAGAGTATCTTATTAAGACAAACTGCTTCACAAAGAGGAGGAAAAAACCCAAGGCTTCATTACTTTTAATGGCTTGTGGTTTTTACATGCACTGTGTGTATCATTTCATTCCTCTCTACCACCCTAGCCATGGCTTGTTAACATATCCCCTCTAACAAACCCACTAAAATCCATAATTTCCCTTTCATCTTCAGCTCCCCAAGCCACTTCAGGTTCTCCCTACATCACCTAACCCACTCCCTCATTGTTCCCAGCTCTTTTCCATGTTCCATGTGTTCCTCTCCCCGCAGTACCCCTCACTCTTCTACCTCTTTATGGGCTGTCCCACCATATACCTGGCTCCTTCCACATTCCCTGCTTTCCTGTCAGCTGGGCAGGACGCAGTGCATGTAGAACCGGATACGTGTTGCCCCACGGGACTGTGCTGGCTTGCAGGCAGAGCAGACAGAGCAGATAAGTTACTTTTCAGAAATGGAAAGCCTTCCTGAAACTCTGGGTGGCCTGGAGCTGACTAGCATATAAAAAGAGCTCTCTGAAAAAAATACAGCCATTGCAGAGAAGTGAAATTAATTCTTGGAATCCTTGTGAAGAAACTGGGGACATTCAGAAAACTCCACAAAGAGGAGGATTGTGAGAAAACTTTATGACCCCAAACTTATTTGGAAAAGTGGACAAAACACACAGTATGAAGTCACCAGAAGTTGTTTATCCAAGGGACCTAACAGGAACTCAAGGTTGAAATGGATAAACACTTACATTCTAGCAGACAACCCTCCCAGCTAAAACTACTTTGGCATCTGATTTTTGGAAAGTGGAAAATCTGACACCAGTTTACAAAAGCATCCCACGGGGATCCAGGGAACTGTACACCCACATAGTGTAAAACTGACATCTAACGATAAATTAATAGAAATGATAACAAAGAACAGATTTAGCAGGCACCTGCATAAATACAGCATATTTGGGAAAAAATCAACAAGGCTTTTTTCAAGGGAGATCCTTCTAAGACTATTGAAGCTCTTTGAGAGATTCACAAACATGTCAACAAGGGTAACCTGTCAGATACACTCAGATTTCCAACAAGCTTTCAACAAAATCCTCCACCTTTGAAAGAAGCTAAACAGCCAGAAGGAAAGTCCTTGCGTGAATGCTGAGCAGGTGGCCCAAAGACAAAAACACAGATAGGAGTGAAATCTCCATTCACTGCAAGAACTGACCTTAACAGCAGAATTGTGTAAGGAACACGAACTGCTCAACACATTTGTAAGTTATGCCAAAAACACAGAAGTAACAAAGGCAGCTGATAAGGGTAATTCAGAGTAATAAATGACAATAGAGAACCAGAGACAGACTGCGAAGATACTATCATGTCCTTCCACAGTTAAGTAACTTGTCACTAAATGACAGTTGAGATCTCATGTAGGTAGCTTAAGTGATGCACAGGAGAAAACACAAATCCTATCCTAACAAATAAAATTATTACATGTGAGCTGATCTTTACCACTCAAGAGCAGGATCTTGGTGTTACAATAGAAAAACTGTGATGCTACAAGTCTACATGGCTTCAAGGAGCTGCCGACCAAATTCAGGGAAGAGAAATAGAGACAACTCCAGCTCAAAGGGTTCATAAACTACAATTGACTGGAGACTGGAAGCGCATTGGGGGAAATTGTACTTACCAATCTTTTTATATTTTTTTCTAGACATATGTTTATGACATAGCTGGAGATAGGATATAGGGCAAAATGAACCAGTCCTACCCAGTACAATTATTCTTGTGCACTTTTTGGACCTTTCCCTCAATAAGAACATTAATAAAATCTTCTCTTTCTCTCTCCTCACAGTAATTTCCACTGTTTCTATATGACCTTAACTTCGAAGTCCTGCACCTTCTGCCCTTTCTATCAGATCTGGTTAAAGGGTTTAGAAGTTTAGTCAATAGATTAACAGTGTTTAAACAATAACAATGTTAATTTCTTTAGAAAAAATGAAAACCAGCATTTTAACCTAGAAATGCAGACCCATAGAAAACAATACTGTCCAGATGAAATGTATTTGAATATGATTTTCAGCCAAGCCTCAGACCAGCCTTCACTTTAAGCACACCTGCAGTACAGTCTAGGACCAAATATAAGTATTGAACATGATCTAACTATCAGCTAATGTCTACGGATCATAAAAGATTAAATTAAACTCTTCCCCTGATGAGCAGCTTTTCCTTGAAATAGTCCCATGGTATGGGCAGATAAGACATTTCCAATCTTGAAAGAAAGAATTCCAGATGCAGTAATTTGCCAACATGAAATCACACTTGTAAAAAAGAAATTGAGGCAGAGAGGTGTGATGAATGTCATGTTTACTAAACATAAAGCAACCCCAAAGCATACAATACACACACACACAATCATGCCAAGTATATGCGCACAACAATAATATAAGTGTTATTCACATGGAAAACCTTCAGAATTTATTTTCTCTAAATCACCAGAAGCACCATTCCATCAGCAGTAGCACTAATGGACAGGGCTCAGGTAGTTTTACATCATTTCCTCCTTCTCTGAAAACACAGGAGGAATCATGACAAAAACCACTTGAACCTGGCATTTTCCGTTATTGCCACTGTTCACAACCTTCCTAGAAGCAATGACAGGATGGCCTGAAATTGCACCAGACTCTTCTGTCTCAGTTCTGTGTTAACAGCTAGGGTATAAGATGGTGAGACATCCATATAGAAGACAGAGACAGACATCTTTGTTTTCAGTTTGTATACGCCCTGAACACATTGCCTCCTGACTGTCCAGCTGCATTTTCCAGTACTACCACAGTGCAATTAATAAAGGAGCTACAAGTCATGGGTGACCTCCTTTTCCAGATTCTTCAAAGCCTAGTGAAAAAAAGGGACAGACGTGGCAGATGCTGTATGGTAAGACCCTCTCCGTCTTCTACCAGGAAAGAAGAGTCTAGCGGGTCCCACCAAGGATGGAGCACTGGGCAGGAAATTCTCAGCAGCCAGTGGCTTTGACAAGCAGGAGTCCCTCCCTTGATCCTTAGCGCTACCTGCCATGTCTGGCACATAAACCAGCACTCTCAGACTGTGAGCAGAGTGAAGACATAGGTAATAGCCTCAGCTGCTCTTAAAGTCTCAGCCCTGTCAACATTTCTGCCCTTATTCTTCTTGCTGCTTTCCCTAGCCTAACAATCAATAAAGTAAAAACAAGTTCAGCTATTCCACTCCAAAAGTAGAAGAGATGAAAAGCAGCAGGCATCAATCTACACCCTTTAATCACAAGCAGACATGAATCCCTGCAGACCCATCTCCATCCTTGCGTAAGCCTGCAGCTCACACGTTTACAGCTGTAGTCCCATTAGCACTATCAGTCTGTATGTTTGGCAAGTTCACGCTTTCCTGCTTCTGGGGCAAAAGGTGTCCAATCGTTGTTTACACCAGTGGACAGGATGGATCTAAGAGGTAAGTGGTTCATTCTGGAATAAAACCCACTCATGCTAGTCTCTGCCTTTTCTGCTGTTTTTAGTTCTCCCACCACCCTTTTCCTGGGCTGTACGCTATTCACTGAATAGCTGGAGGTGACCCACCTTTCTGCCCGTGTGCTGCTATACTGGCAGCTCATTTGATACCAAAATCAAAACAATTGCTGCTGTCTCAGCTGCAAGGCTGCTCTGGATCTAATACTTAGCGCAGTTAAAGCGACAGAGCCTCAATCTCTTAGAGATATGCTACTACACATTAAAGGGAGCGTTTCTCCTTCGGTGTGGGGAAATGTACTGTGCTGCCTGACAATCTCTTATGTCTCTGCCACTGGGAATTACAGAAGAAAGGGGCCTTTACAATGCTATGGATTAAAGTTATTTTTCAATAAGCCCACCATCTCAGGTGAAGTCATAAAGGAATGGAGAATAGTGTAGAACAGCAAGCAATTCTCCAACTTATTTTCCCACTGTGCAGTATTCCCTGCCTCAGTTTTCAGTCTCACCCTCTCCTCCGCCTTCCCTTCTCCCACCACATGTGCAGACAATTTGCATTTATAACAGCAGGGCTAACACTGTTGTTCTGCAGCGGTGAAACAGAGGCATGCAGGTACTGCTTTCCCAGACCTGTCCCACCTGTGGCATTTCAGGCAGCTGCACTAGTCTTTTGGTGCATAACCTGATCTAGCACAGA